ATGAAATTTCATTTCACCTGGGTAACGTGGTCACTAGGGCTTACAATTGCTTACTTAGGATGCAGCTGTCAAAAGACCCACTGTGATGTGAAAATCGTACCTGTGTGGTGAATTTTTTAAAGTTTTTAATGGAGGAAAAAGGAACAAAGTGAGACTTTGAACCTAAGTTTCACATAAAATTGATCAGTGGGTAAAAAAAAGGAAGAGCATCCCAATTAATGTTCTGTGAAGTGGACCACAACTTTAATAAATAATAAATAATTTACACAACTATCGCCATTAATTTATCAGTGATTTATACATCAGCCCTCTAAAGAATCATTTGAGAGTGAGGTTGATTGCATGAGTTTCTTACAACTTCTAATTAGCTTAACATGCCAACTTTTCAATTCTGTTTTTAAAATCCATATCTTGCTTATCTGAACTAAGACATTTCTACCTGTAATTGATTCCAAGTAAGAGTTTTGCTAACTCAGCAATTTTTCCCTTCTCTCCTTATTTTCACTCCTCTTTAGCTTGATCACTTGTAGAAATTTCTAAACATTGAATGCTTCCTATGCAGTTTCACAAGATTTGAAAGGTAATTTATTAAACATAAGATAAGAATTAAAGACAGATTCACTCTAAAAATCTTTCTGAATTCAACAGATCAATAAATCATCCATGGTCTCTTTGAATGTGCCATACAGAATTATCAATCATCGAGGCATTAAATCAATAACATACAACACTATTTTATAATGCAGACCTTGTCAAAAATTTGCTGTGTAAAACATCATTTTTTTTATCATAAACTGTGAACTCATATTTCAAAGAATCTATCTTGGGATGGGTGAGCTACCTAAAACATAATTTAAGGTGACTCACATCCAAATATTGAAAACAAGTCATAAGGAAAATAACAACAACAAAGTTATTCACTCTTCAAAAAGTTGACTCAGTCCAACTATACACGAATCTTCGTAAACATGAGGTGGTGTTTGACACAAATTTGCAAAAAGATATCAAAATCTTAAGTAAACAGTACCGCTGGGGAAATGGTTAACCTGTAATCCGACTCAGTGCTCAATAAATCTCCTTGTCCTTTTAAAATTATCAGCAAAAAGACGGCATTGTCAAATTTCAATATTAAAGTTTAATTTAGATAATTTGCCAGTCAATTTTAACAACAAGCAAAAGTTTAATGGCTTTGAAAGTGTTTGAAACATTTAATTTACTTAAAGTTTAAATGGCACTTCTTTCTTTCTTTGAAATAGATTTGAAAATGCCTCATTTTTGTAACAGTCTTAAGTAGCATGGATTACATGTTTAATTGCTTTTGAAAATGTTGAACATTTAATTTCTCTGAATTTTTTAAACATTTAACTTGCATTCTGAAGACAGTTTGTCCCTTTCAAAACTGGTGGGCCAATACACAGTGACAAAATTCTGCAGCTCTTTGGTTTTGTACATTAATAGACAAATCATTTATTGAGTCCATGCAGTCTAGCCAAAAAAGTGCATGCATGGTTCTTTAAGGACTGAGCATGCTGTCTTATCCATTTGACATCTTGATGAACCCTGCATATGTGTATAGGTTTATCTGCACCTTCCAGCTGCATAAAGACATCCCAATCTTAAGTTTGTTATCTTCTGCAGTGTCTGTTGACTGTTTCTTTGATTTTTTTAAAGTCATAAATTTTATGACAATATGATATATTCTAAGTTTAATCGGCAGCAATGAATCTGAGCCAATTTCAAGCAAAAAAATTTAGGAAATGTTTGAATGAATATAGTCTTCTTTAGAAGGTAATGTAACAAGAAAATCTGGCTATACACATCTGGGATTGACCCTTCTGTTGAAGATTAAGGGAGTCAAGCCTCTTAACTGTTAGTCTCTATAATCTGTGTTCAGTACACTGACTGGACAGACATTACACACAGGAAGGGCCTACTGTTATGTCTGCTATTGTTTGTGTTTTATGAGCCGGGAACCAGCTGAGCTTACAAACCACTATAATCCTGGCCAAGGTCAAATTACAAATCACTGTGTTATTCTAAAAATAAGTAGTTATTACCATGACAGCTTAACAAAATCACCAAAAAAAAAAAATCACTGAATGCTAAAAAAATAAGAAGATACAAATTGTAAATGTATTGTTCTTATATATTAGTTGTTTATATATTTTGTTATATATTAATTAGTGTGGCAGTTCTGCACAATCACAGTTAGAGCACATGTAATATCTGCAGGTATGAAATTGAAAGCTTCAAAATCATTTTTACACCAAAAATAAGCAAGAACGTATAACATTGACAGCATCACAAAATTACCAAGAAAATATAGAGTTTTCATGACCATGCATGTTGGTTTTTCTTTTTTTAATCAATCTTTATCATGTTTACAGCACTTGATTTTTGAACATATGGAGATCATTTGATTTATAGATTAAATAAACTTATAGTATGCATAGAGTTGAAGGAGATCAATATATATTAATTTCTTTGAATACCAATGAGAAACCACTTTTGCCGAGAAGCAGTAATTATAGCTCGATCTCCACCATTGGGAGACAGTTGTGTAATTCATGGTTTTAACCCTATAGTCTATGACAACTTTTGAGACCACTTCAGAGGGTAATTCAAAATTTTAATGACATTTTTATTATGCAAATTTAAAGCTGGCAAAGGACATTTGTACCTAGGTGGTCCCAGCCTGTGAATGAAAAGCTTCTGTGAAAATGTGTCATGTTATTTTAGCATTTCATTGAAACATTGGGCCAATTAAACACACTTTTGACAACCTTACATGGCATATCATGGCTCATACAGGTTTCATATCTTATCGAATATCACTATAGCAGAGAGGAATAGTTAGGAAGAAATGAAGAATTGCCAAATAACCTGCAAGTTTTACATATACATCCATATACATTGAGTTAATTGGTGTCAGTTATCTGCAGGTCAGAATTTCAAAAAGATAGGTAAAAGTCAAAAACCTTCAGGTCAAATTTTTAAAAGGTGTAAATCAACTTACAACATTCTTAAGTCAAAAGAGACAGAAGAAAATATGCTTGTTTTTTTCAAAGCTTCTGAGACACCTTGAGCGTCTGTTTTCATGTTTACAACTACTATAATTGAAAGTTAGTGAAGTTAAAAAAGATAGATAACACAAGAAAATGCTGAATAAAAGGAAACCTTTGTATTTTGATGTTTTACCTATCAGTATACATATCCCCAGGACATATTCAGTAAAACATTTTGATGGAATGATATATCTACTAAATTACTAGCGTGCAAAACTCAGCGAATTACAGTCAAGTTCCAATCTACTCTTGCTGTGACCATATAAGGTATCAAACCAAATGTGAATTTGTGTCTGAATTCCCACGATTTTTTTATAGCATGACAGCATTGTAATATAACTATAAATACATATCCCAAAAGGGGAAACAGAATTACAAAGGCATTAAATCAGATCAAACGAATCAGCTTGTTCCTTGTTGCTTCAATTTCCATGAAGCACTTTACTCTAAAATCTCCATTAAGTACATTTTCCCCTATTTTATCATGAACAAAGTGTTTATATGGACCACTAATAATGATTGAGAAACTGAATATTGTTAATTCTTCCTTAACATCCCATTGTGATGATATGTGCTTTGTTCTGTTGATGTGTGTAGTTGGGGAGGAGGTGGGGGTGGGTGGTTGATCAACATCATAAAGACCCCCTACCACTCCCCTCCCCCCTCCCTCTGAAACTTACACCTGGCTGCCTGATTTCAATGCAGTGTGATTACTGAATAAATGCTAACTGTATGCATATCCATTTTTCTGCCCATGATCTTGCATTAATTAATCAAATGTCTGTTCCTTTCTCCCCTACCCTGCTGCTAAACAAGTCAGCCTTGCTTTATGTCCATTCAGATTGTTTTCAACAACAAAGGGTGATTTCACAGGGTCACAATTAGTTTATTTACCAATTAAGGGTATCTGGCAAGCTGAAAATCTTAAGTTTTAACCTCTAGGGGGTAAATCCCATGTTGTGTGTAAGATCCACTGGTCAAGTCCCCACCCACCCCACCAAGTGGTCAAATTTAACACCAGAAACATCCTGGCTAATCTCATCTCCTGATGTGAATCCTGTTTGTCCAGCATGAAATTAAATCAGTAAACAATGTGCATGGGTAGGGTCAGCTAAACGTGTTCATTGAGTGACTCCTTTTAATTATGTGACACACACAAGATATAAAGGAATGCCTGCTAATTAATAGGCTACTGGGCAGTAAACCAGCTATGACCTACTTAAACTCTGTCACCTGTGGGTGTAATATGCACTGTTATATAATAAGTGAAAATGGACTGCTGAAATGTTAGGGGGATCAATGTTATCAGAGTTTTTTCTATTGATGGGGGTTGCAAAACATAAGTTATCCTTCATTCTTGAGTAACTAAGACCCCTCCCCTACTCTATCATTCATATGTGCAAACAAAAGAAACCTATTTGAATTTTTGGGAGGGCAACGCCCACTTCTTTACTTTCGACACATATTAAATTTCTTATAATAATATTTGTGATGGTAATTAATAATTCTGAAATAGGATTCTTGGGCTTGGATTAGAGAAATATGTTTTAGCCATTAAACTGTTTGTGAAGGATTTACACTCCTAAGACAGGTAAACAGTTGACAAAGCCGGTTTTACAGGTGTGTGCGTAATCCAACAGGTGTGTATTGGACTGACGATCGCCATGTTTGTTTACGTTTTTATTTTCCCGGGTTCTTGCACACGTGCATGCTAGTGACAATACACACATAAAAAGTTTTGCCTACTAAAAACCCTCCAATTCCTCAAAATGAAAACCTTGCATAGATATAACACCTTCCATTTTGCACCTGAAAACACATGTGGCCGTTATGAACGTATTCACCTTTCGCTTTCACTTTGACGATTCTCTGGCTAATGTCATTCGTGACCTCGTTTTTTTTCATCCAACATGCATAAAATGACACAGTACTTACCTATGTTGACGATTCGGATTCCCTCATCCCTCTCCAAAAATTCCAGCACCATGGTAACATTTTCCAATTTTTGGGTTCTGAAATTAGGTCGCTTGTTGACATGCTTGAATTTTTTGCCTGATAAAACCTCCACTAATGCAATTAATCGTAATCCATCGGAAAAATCCGTTTCTAAGTTGTTAATGACCTTATTAACAGTTTTCAGGTGTTCGTTAGCCCACCTGGTGAAGGTATTTTTCTGAATTAACTTCCATTGCGCGTCGTCCGCTAGGTCGCGTTCAGTGAGAGGCATTTCCTCGTCCTCTTCGTCTCCGAGCAAGTGTGACTCGCTATCGGCCATGGTGTCGCTTTTATACTAGTCTGACACGGTCGAGTGGTTTTAGCGTACTAAGAGTTTATGAATCAGTTCAATTGAATTTGTGAATGTATATAAATGTATATTTTCTCAGTTTTACGTGTAGGCACGAAAGCTCTTAATCTCGTATTCTCACACCGAGTTATTCCAAACTAGTTGACCCTGTAAATGAATAAAAATAAAACAATAAGTATTTTGTTAAATGTCAAGATATCAAATCGTGCGAAAGAGTTTGGTTACATTGTCAAGAAACATTCATACTGACATATTTCAATACGCACACCATTAGACATATATCTGTAATATCGTATGAATTAAAAACATTTGATACATATTTAAAATATAAACAAAACATTTCTTATGAATGAATGTAATTAAGATTGCAATTTTGGAGACTATTAAACTGCTAAAATTAATCAGCGTGGATTCTGTTTCAGTTCAAACCAAAACACGCAACTGATAAGGAAATGTTTTAAAATGAAAATCATATTTATAAACTTTGACAACAAAACAGACCAAGAAAGTATACAATGTATCCATAATTTGATTTAAAAAATAAGTTGACTTAAAAAAAAAGAAGACTCTAAAACAAAAATATTTTGTAGTTGTTATGCAAGAATATCTACAGTCTTTTTCTGACGTTTTCGTTCACATACATGGCACATTTTCTGACTGTGAAATCCCCTTCCCCCGAACCACAATAGCGTGCCTTGAATTCAATTATTACATGACGAATTATTGTCATTGAAAATCAATAAAAGACAATATCATAGATTATAGCACAATTAGGGTTTTTAAAGTATGTCTCACCATAATTTTGTATACATGCAGTAAATTGGAGCAAAGAGGGGTTGGGGGTGTGAATAGTGCAAGTTGAAAAAACTGACTCTTAAGTTACGGATTCTTTTAGAAAAATCAAAGATACACAGTATCTATCATGGCCAAAGGAACCAAGGGATGCACCCCCCCCCCCCAATAATTTTGCTGATATGTTGTTCACTATAGAAAAACAAAGATAGTTTACGGGTGCGTTCCCTCACTAAAAATTAATCACGTCTGATTAACTTTTTTTGTCTGGGAAATTTTGCTTGGTAGTGCCCACCCAAAATGAAAGTGTTTGGTTATGCCCAACTCCCCCCAATCCCAACTCCCCAAACTGAAGTTGCTTCCTACAGGAATTTCCAAGCAGTGCTATCTTAATTTTACAGGAACCGACATGGATTACAATTTTCTACAAACCGATTTTGAACATTATGGGGATAGCTTTTCTGGGTTGTTAAATTTGCATCATATGGGTCAAAAATGTGATTAATATAAACCCCGCAACTTAAACTGATAATATTATTTATTTTACGTATACTGAATGAAAAACACACGAAATCATTTATATCAAAGATTATCAAGACCCTCAGTGAGACTATTTCATGATTACATGCGACATACCATCAACACGAAGCGCCATCTGTCTAAATAAAACCATATTTTCTTTGAAATTTAAGACTTATCGTCTGCGATCGCCCAGATTGTCTTACGACATGAATCTGATTACAAGCGTGTGGTAATATTATTGTGCACGAACAGTAGGACGTGCTATGATTTTTTTCTTGCTTTTATCTAAGTAACCTGTTCCAAGAACAGTAACTCGTTTGACACTTATGTATGTGACAGATACCCCCAATGAACCAGAATGAGTGAAAATCACTATTCTAGAAATATACGGTGCGTTTGGATTCATGAAGAAGTGATGCATATAAATTTGATATCATATGCATAATTGCTAGTAGTATAAACTTAATAAAATAAAAGGTTTCAGTGAGCAAAAACCCCACACATGTAGAATATCTTAAGGTTCGTTGATACTCTGACAAGAGAGATAACTCTTAATGACATAAATGCCTATTATTCCTTTAAAGATTTTGAAGCTGATTTCGACACTGGTGTCGATTAGTCGTTAATTAAAAGCAATTTTGCATACCTTGAAGTTGAAATGTCTTTTTTAATCCCCCTCCCCCGCAAGCTATGACATAATTGTTTGTATTTTACTTATAAGGTACATTTCTTTCGGAAAATCGTAAAAGTTAAAGCAACATTTTATATGAGTGAGCAGTAGGTTTATGAACCTTTAATTAATTACGTGGTAATACAATATATTAGTTCTTGGAGATAAGTTTACCATCACTCAATCCTCTCATCAAAGATAATGAGAACACAGTATTAGCCTCATAAGGTACGACAAGACACAATATGCGGCAAAAATGAAATTATTTTTATTTACAGAAGCAAAAACACTATAATATTCAAATTTTTACATTTCTTTCAAAAATCAAATCCAAAGTTATAACAATTAGGGAAAAACCTTTATAACAAAAGATCCTCTTTCACTGTCTAAGTTCTTATTATCTAAAGCATTGCAAAAATTAACAACTCCACCACACACCTGCCAGACAAGAGGCAACCTATACATATTTACCTACCAAGCAAATAAAACTAAAGATCCGTACATTAGGAAATTCCATTAACCGCGTAATGATGAAAGAGTCATTGAAAACTGCGCGCATTTGCCAACTTCTCATATAATTTTGCCGAAGAGACTAAATAATTACATAAAATTTTAAACCCATAAGCGTTTTTTTTCCTCGTTTAAATCCGCTCCAGAATTTTCAAACGAAAATGTTGTTATAGAATAACTTACATTCATACCATTTATTAAAATTATTTATATCATTGGCAAGTGTCCTGGATATCGTCAGAATTAACGTTAGTATCCAGGCTACATTTTTCAGTGTAACTGTATACATTTAGAAAATTTGGTCGTTCCAATGATCAAAGAAAAAATGGTCTTTTGTTTTGTTGCCGATTTATTACAATAGAATATCATTTTCTTGGCAATTATTGCCAGCCATGTGTCAATCAGGAATAAATTTGCAGCAGTTTTTGTCGTGCCATCAGTTATTTTTCCTCCCTTGATAACAAACACCTGAAAAATATTGTTTCTCGTTTTTCGAGTAGAAAGAAATGGCTAACTGTTCCAATAGGCAGTCGCTCGTCGAAAAACATCCTCACAACGTCAGGGTTCCCATGTCCTCTAGGACCAGGACTACATTTTAAACGGTGACGGTTGTCCTGTGTCCACTGACGGTCGTATATGTAGGATCAAGGCCACAAGTGGACACCCCTGATGTTGTGAGGACGCAAACATCGAAAAGATTTATTCCAACTTGTTTCACATCAAAATAAAACTACAGGTACTTGTACAGATAATAAATGCCAGTAACGCTGCAGTAATTTCTTTAAAATTGCGTTAAAAAGGTGATACATGTACTAGTATTATATATACCGATTTTATTTCAAAGATAGATGGCGACAAATGTTTGAAATGTAATTCTTTGACCGCTTTGGTTTTGGCAAAGGAGTGAAATAAGCCAACACGGAAGACAATTTGTACATTATATAATGTGGGGATAGATAAGAAGTCCTCAAAAATGCTTAATTTCCGCACAAATTTTGACTTCATTCGATAAATTATCAAAGTCTCGCATCTTACGATGATTTATCAGTGATGCGTGACAAATAAGGAATGGCGGACCTTGCTGCATGTGCTTCCGATATATCCGACATCACTAGATGTTTGTTATTTATCTTGTACGATTCATATGTTGTCGACAAAGACTGTCAGTTTTGACTAACTATGAAAAGCTTGGCAACTTTGCAAGGTGCATAACTCCGCCTGACGACGAATCGCCAAAGACGGTTGTAGAATTTCCAGGAATATGTCACTTCAGCATTTCTGTCAAAACCTCTGCACATTTCCGCTATGTAACACAGATTTTGCAGAAAAGTATCGAAGAAAAAACAGGTATCTGGTCTTGGAAATGTTTCGTAGTTAACAAACATTGTTGTGTCATGAAGTCTAATTAAAATTTCATTAAAACATGCAGTATCCTATAACAGAGTCAATGGGTCTATAATCGATGGCGAATCACAATAGGTCAACGTCCAAAAGTGTTATAACAATGAAATGTATTTTTCCCGTCTGTTAAGGACTCAGACATATGTCAAATCTTAAGCTTGTGACCACAACATGCGACAAATTCCAATGGTTAAGGATGGCTTTTCTAGTGTGGTCATAGAATCCAACCTCTTGAAAACACTTAAATCATCATTACTACATGTAATAACACTAAAGGGTAAACCGGTACATTGAAATTTGTTTAAAACATTTAACAACGAAAAACATGGTCCAAAATACCTTAAATCTTCAAAGAAATTAGAATGATAATGAAAGCAAGCTTACAGAAGTGATTCCCGGTCTGGTAACAGCCAAAGAAAATCCCAAGTGTACCAAAATCTCAGCAGTCAAAACAGAACTAGTCTAAACGTTCCCAGCAAAAGAAGGAACTACTTGTGTTTCTCGAAAACTTTTTTTCTCACTTGTGCCAAACTGGATCGGGTTTATAAATATACTGAGACAGATGTATATGATGAGCCCGGAGGTGTTCCTAAGAACCCTCGTTTGATTTTCATGATAAACTCGCGAATCTTCCCCAGCGAACCGGTGTTTCCATATTTGGGGGATGCTCGTAAGATGAGACGCTTGATGCGCGCAGTGTAGAAAATTACGTAGGAACCAAATTGTTCGGGTGCCCTCGCCCGTTTTCTTGTGTTATTTATCAAAATCTGTGGTTTGAGAAAGATATTTTAAGAGAGTGTGTAATGTGTATTTACTACATAGTAGATGAATGCAGCGTTAAGGTATGCGCAAAACCATCGTGGTCAGTGCATTTTGTACAGTCATAACGATAAGTATTGAATGTTTGCAAGATAGTATCATGTAGGATTGGATTAATCAGATATACTCGGATTATAGCACAAGCAAATATAAATCGGAACTTCTTGAAACCCAAGAGATCTTTATGAGGATATAGAGCCATCTGCTCCAAGCCGCCACCCCCTGGAGCGCGTGCGCTACCGCGCCTTGCGCGAGACTGGGATTTGTTATCGTCGAACGACGATGGGGCTGATGATTTTATTAACGAACATGATAAGAAACAGATGACCCTAGTCAACCGTCTACAGATGTTTTAAGACAATTTGTTTTGTTTTCAATGGTTAAAAAGAAAAGTTACTGTCTGGAAAGGGGTTAACCAAGCAAACGA